AGAACAACTTCTTCATTATGTATGGGTTCAGTAGGCTGCTGTAGACTAGCTAGGGAGCCTAGATATGATTTACAACTTTGTTTCCAAGGGAAATTGCAGTCAACATTCCAAAAAGCCAATTTACCAGCAAATGTTGGGAGTATAAATTTTAAGTTAGACACTACTGGTATATGGATTGACTCAGAACCTCAGGGAATAGATGCAATCAACATTCTGTATTTGTTTCATTGCACTTACTTTTTGCAATAAGCTCTTTGCTTCCCCAAATGCAGAGAAGATAGAATGATAGAACAAAAGTATTTGTAACAATGTTTACAGGATCTAACACATCATAAAGAAACATCAAGAAGCCTCCATCAAGATTCTCCTAGGTTAAAGACAGTGAAGTTTTTAAGTCTTAAAAATACTCCTCATAGGGGCCAAGGATTTAGCTCAGCGGCACTGTGCCCGCCTTGTAAGTGTAAGGTCCTGAGTTCAATCCCTGGTACCAAAAACCAAAAAAACAAAAAAACTAAAAAAACTCCTCATAGAATAAACCAAATTATTTTCTATTCTTATGAAAACTTTTCAGGACAGATGGACGCATACAGATACAAACAGCCCAAATGCACAACCCCAAACACTCATTTGCAGTTTCCTAAGGAAAAATAATTTTCTTTTATTCACAAGAGAATAAAATGACACATTCATTTGTAATGGATCTTTGTTGGCTGAATGAATTAGAGGCCAGGGAGCCTGAAATAAGCCAAAACCAAAGAGAATTTAAATAAAACCATTTTTAAAAATAAAATATTGATATTCTATTAAGTCTGGAAAAGATGCAAATTGAAAACCTATGTAGAGATATGAGACATTTATTTTAAACAGGTTCCATGAAGTCTTGCTCAGCAAAATAGCCTCACAGCAATGACCTAATAAGAGCCCCATCCTCTTAGGACCTACAAGGGGCTTCCTAGCTCTGGTCAAGGGCAGTAACTGTACTTCTGGTCCTATTCATTCCTTGTACTGATCTTATTTTCCATCTAGCACATTTCCTTTTAGCCTAATAAATATCCGCTAATCTGTCTGATTGTACGAATTTGCTGGTAATAAGTTGTCTTGGGCCATTTTGTCATATAAGAAACTTTATTTTTACTATATTATTGAAAGGTACTTTCACTTGTAAAAGCATTCTAAATTGGCTTTTCTTTTCTTCCAATAATTTAAATGTGTCAGTTCAATGCCTTCTGGAATTCATAGTTGGAAAAATGAGATTGACCATCATTCTAATTCTTATTCCATTGTATATAATATGTATTTTTCCTCATTAGCTGCTTTAAAATTTTAGTCTTTATTACTGTCTTTCAGCAGTTTGACTATGATGTACCATGTTATTATTTTCTTTGTGTTTCTATTCTTTGGAGTCTTTTGAATATCTTGGATCTGAGAGTATATAATTTGGAATGTTTTTCAGTTCTTTCTTCCTTTCTTCCTTCCTTTCTTTTCTTTCTCTTTCTTTCTTTCTTTCTTTCTTTCTTTCTTTCTTTCTTTCTTTCTTTCTTTCTTTCTTTCTCTTTCCTTCCTTCCTTCCTTCCTTCCTTCCTTCCTTCCTTCCTCCCTTCCTTCCTTCTCTCCCCCGTCTCTCTTCCTTTCTTTCTTTCCCACCATCAGCCTCCTCTACTACTTCAATGATATGTACATTAGACTGGTCAGTTTTTCTTCCACCTATCACTGGTACTGTTTTCCTCCGTGTTTTCTATTGCCATGTCATCAAGCTCATTCTTCAGGGTCTACTCTGACGTTAGTTGTACTTGGTGTACTATCCTTTCAGAGAGACACTACATTTGGACTTGTTTATGGCTTTCATTTCTGGCTTCCTTATGTTTATTTCACATCTTTCATTACTTTCATGAACATATGGAGAATGCTTCTAGTAATTCTTTTATTCTCTTGTTTGATAATGATAGCTTCTGTCATTTCTTGGTTTGTTTCTATTGGTTGAATTTTATCCTACTTATGGGACACATTTGCCTGTTTCTTTGTGTGCATAGTAATTTTTGGCTGGACGCCAGACATGATAATTTTTAATCCTGTTGGGTATAGGATTTTAAAATATAATTTCTGCAGTATGTTGGATATGTTCATAGCTTAAAATCAAGTTACTTGTACTCATTTTGATCAATTTCAAACTTTTATATATACTGAGCCTAGGGATAATTTAGACACACAATTAATATAATAGTCTAGCCATAATTTAGAGTCATAACTAATATGGTATCTTTCTGGTGTTTTGTGTGTTAACACAATGTCTTCCTAAATTCCTGTGTATTACTTGTGTATTACAAAGACTTTTCAGTGTGGTTGGCAGGAATACAAACTTTCCCTAGTCTTACCTAGAATACTTCCCCTCAAATTTGACCTACTGCTTTTCTGTGCTTCTCAGTTCAGCCTTGAGTAGTTTCCATGCATTCATCTCTACTGTATTTAGCCAAAGACTGTAGGAGCCCTTTCACATATCTCTAGGGATTTCTCTTTATTAGGATTCCTTCCTTCAGGCATTCTAACTCACAGATTCTTATGAGCTTGACCTCCTCAAATTTTGAGTTTTCTCTCTTCAACTCAGTGAGACCAAGAAGTTTTATTTAAGTACTTCCTAGCTGTTCTGCTTTTTGAAAACTCCTACTTGGCAGTAAGCAGAAACAATCATAGGCATTTGCTTCACTTATTTCCCTCCTATCAGACATCAAAGTATTTTGTTGTTTGTTATTCAATGTCAGATGAGTTATGATAAAATATACAGTGACAAGGGGCTGGGGATTTAGCTCAGTGGTTCTGCCGCCTGCCTTGCAAGCAGAAGGATCAGAGTTCGATCCCCAGTACCAAAAAAAAAATACAGTGACTATTTAAATAAACATTTTTAAATTATTACAGTAAGACACATTGGCATTAATCCCCCTCAAAATAACTCCCCTTGCTTCAAAAAACATTTATTCCATTATTTTTGCTACTTCATGAAGCAGTTCTAGAAGTCCACTTTCCTGAGAGTTTCTTTAGTTGTGCTCTCATGGCTTTTGATGTCCTAGATCAATTGAAAACATTCATCTTGCATTGTTATTTTGACTTTGGGGAAGAGCCTGAAGCCACGAGGTACCAGATTCAGTGAATAAGTTGAATGAACGCACACCACAATTTTGTTGTTGTTTTTTTTTGTGTGTCGTGCTGGGGATTGAACTCAGGACCTTGCACTCGCCAGGCAGGTGCAGCGCCACTGAGCTACATCCCCGATCCATCCATGATGTTTTTATTTGACAAAAATTGCCATAAGATTTTTGAATGGATTCTGAACATTGAGGTAGCCAAGGAAAGACTTGGTTCATGCCTCTTGGTCATGCGAGGGGACTTCCAGAACTGCTTCACATAGTGTCTAGAATGATAAGTGTGTTCAAAGTTAGAGAGTTTTGTTTGTTTTTTTGTGTTTTTTTGGCATCAGGGATTGAACTCAGGACTTTGTGCTTGCAAGGCAGGCGCAGTGCCACTGAGCTAATTCCCGGCCCCAGAGAGAGTTTTGATGATTAATGGTAATGTGTATTTTACTGTAACAAATTTTAATTTAAACATTCACTGTATTTTTTATCACACTTCATATTTTATTTACTTGTTTCTAGTTGTTGATATGCAAGAGTAATCTAGCTCCTATTATTTCATCATGGCTAATGAGTAATATGCTTTTAATACTGAAAATAAAGGCCTGTTCCTCCTCTTTACTGAATGAATCTTGTATCATTGGCATTCGTGAAAATGAAGTTAAGCTTCTGAGTAACTAGCAATATTAACTTGTTTATAACTTTTATATGTGGAGTAGCCTAGGGCTTGAGGAAAATAACTAATTTGTGTAATCTCATGTTTTTACAAAATTACCAGTTGCAACTTAAGCCTGTGGTTCTAGGATTTTTAGCAGGTCTGAACTGGTATGCTCATGTCTCAGTCAGTTACTAGTGTTAGTATCTGTGTATTCAGCCTCCTTCATTGCTGACTCAAGGATGACACTCAAGTATTTTACTCTCTCCTTAGCAGCTTGTTTTTAACAACAACTGAACTATATTTCTAAGCACAGATATGAGAGAATAAAGGTGAGAAATTTCAAAAATAATTTCCCCTGTCTTTTTCCTCTACATTTTTTACACGGGTATTACTGAAGATAAATCAGAGCTAAGTTTACTAACTTGGACCTTTAATAAGTTAGTTGCTTGTAAGAATATGAATTTTTGACATTTTTCTTATTTGCTTATTCTGCTACTTTTTATTTCTTTCAATTTTTCCTCCTGCTATACGTCCCTTTTTCCTCTAAAAAAGACACGTGGCCTTCTAAAGTCCTTTAAATTACCACACTCATCAATTTCACACCTGCATATTTTGGTTCCATGCTATTTCCTCTGCCTAGAATATTTTCATCATCGTTCTTTCTTTCGTTGTTCTCATACATTCTTTAAGGCTCAGGTTGGACACCATCAAATAGTCAAATGTGTCTGACATAGGTATAAATATTTGTAATGAAGAAGTAAAACAATAAAGGAAAAAATCATCCCTAAATTAGCTAATTTTGTACTTTCATCACACAACTCAAGGATCAGAACTATATACTAATATGGGCTCTGGAGTCCAGCTCTTTGATTCTCTGGGTTCAAATCCTGGTTCTACTCACAAAATAGCTGTGTGGCTAAATTAGCCAATACTCTTGGCTAAATTTCTTCTATTCCCTTGCTGCTCAATATCTTCAACTCTGTCATTATAATTGTAGTACCACCCTCTCATAGGGTTATTGTGGGGATTTGGTGACATAATACATAACATACCTAAACTAACACCAAGTGTTCTAAAAGTGGCAGCTATTATTATCAGTGGGAACTGTTTTTTATTAGATTCACTGATTTTTCAACTCTACATTGTAACTGATCCCTTGAGTCTTTCCTAAAATTTATTAACCTTTCATGTTATTACAGGAAAGACTGTCCAAATGTGACTTAATTCAAAATTTATGCTTTTTATTATAGTCACACAAAATAAAGTCAATTACACAAAGTTGTTGAAATACATTGGTGAATTAAAGCTTCCAACACTTACAAATTTTTATACATATAATCTATGAATTTATAAATACATACACATGTAAAAGATATATTTTCTTCTAAAATAAAGTGCCCAAATCTTGATATATGGGGGGCATAATGAGAAAAGATTCATAGTTTTGTCAGTTATAGACTGTACTTTCACAGTACAAGAATCAATTTTATACACATGTATTCAGGTATAGTGAACTTTAATTACTCATTCTTTTCTGAATTCTCTTAAATAAATTTACCCAAAATGTTAAACGAAGTCAAGTGGTCAACTTAATGAATCAGATGCTAATTTTTCTGACTGTGATTGGCATAGAAAATTGGCTTCCAGAGGGAAGGTTAGTTTAATCCATTCTTAATTTTCCTGTTGTTTGGACTGTTATTTTTTCTGATAAGCTGACAAACACAATAAGAAATGATTAAAGGTCTCTAACTCCTCTTCTAGCAAGCAGTAAAGTCAGGATTTGGTGAAAAGATTCCTAATATTTTATATCACCCTGAACTTGGGGAGAAAAGCCCTAGCAGCATCTGAATTGCTGGTGCTGCTGCCTCTATTATAATTAAAATCTTATTTGAGCCAAGGAGGAAGAATTAGGCTGTAAGGATCAATATGTCATTGAAAGAACTGACTCAAATGGAAATGAACTCTTCAACACAGCAAAACACCTTAATAAGGGCATGTTTCAACTTAAGAGCACACTAAAAGACTAAAGAAAAACTGCATGATTTATTTCAGAAAATCCTCACTTCTAATAGGAACTAAAGTTCTAATACCCGTTCCAATAACAGCTTCCCTTCTGCTGTTTTTACTGTATTTTCTGCTTTCTTAGACATTTATGATGATCATTTGTAGTCTTTGACAAGAAACTGAATTTTAAAATGCCGTTGAAAAGGCTTCAACTTATTTAACCACGGTGGAGATGCATAAAAATAGCTTACTACAACCCAGCCATTTCAGAATCTCTGGTGATTACATCTTCAAACTACATTAGAGTGGGTCCTATGCAAGCAGGAAAGGGAGAGATTATCAGCACTAGAACTGCATACAACACTCTAAAATCTCCCAGCAAGAGAGTGGGAGGCTGGGAAGGTGGGAAGCCCAGACATGTCCCAGAGTCAACATAAGGAGTGGGCTTTTATTCTTTCACTTTTGGAAGGGAAAAGGAAGGGCATGAGAGTGTTTCCCATGACCCGACCCATCTCGAAGGGCCTTGCAATACCAGAGGTGCCTAACTGCTGATCTTGGTGAGCATCTTGTTGATAGCCTGCTTGACATGCGTGGTGGAACTGCGCCTCCTGGTCTTGCCCTGCACCATCCTCCTGCGTCGCACCTCTCGACACAACTCATAGAAGATCTCTGTGATGTTCCCTTCACCCGTGCAGGCAGAGCACTCGTAAAAAGCACATGCCAATTCTGTGGCCAGCTTCTCCCCTTCTTCCGTACTCACTTGTCTGGAGTGGTCCAAGTCAGCTTTGTTTCCAACCAAGATGAGAGTCACGTTCTTGGGCTTTTTGATCTCATCTAGGATGTTCTTCAGTGGCAGTACTTCCTCGAAACTTCCCCGGTCAGTAATGTCGTAGACCAGCACAAAGCCTTCCCCCCATCGCATATGGCCTTCTCTCTGAATGGTGTCTTCCTGTAGACAAAGAAAAACAAGAGCTGGGACCCCTGGAGGAAATCACAAGGTACAGATGCTGCTAATGTTGAGAGAGCGTTAATTACTATCCTTTATATCCAATTTTATTAAATGCCTTGGTTTTCCACTTATACAAGCTTACTTTCTCTAATCATTTTGAAATGGAAGCATTATTTACAGCAAACTATTTCAGAGAACTGAAATATTTCTTTTTTGGTACCGGGGATCAAACTCCGGTCCTCGTGCTTGCGCAGCAGGCGGCGAAACCACTGAGCCAAATACCCGGCCCAAATTTCTAATCCTAGACTGTAAGGTTTTGCTTTAAAACTTTTCTTCCCATATCATTAAATCTGTGATCATTAAGAACTATCAGTAAATTACAGTCTTGGTTGAGAATATCAACTTTGAGGGTTTTTTTATTACAATTAAGGAATTAATAAATTGGTACCAGATAAGTAATCCCTGACCCACACTTTGGGTATAAAAGCCCAAATTAAGCAATTATTAAGGCCAAAATTCAGGGAGATTTTCTTTTTCTCTTTATTTGTTTCTGTCTGTTTAGATTATTGACAATTAGCCCACAGAGACAGAATAAAATGACAAGCAGTATAGAGCCCAACTTTAAGATAGGGTTTTGCTTTTTTCTGTCTCAGTAACCCAATTATGTTATGCTGTATCCATAAAGACAGAAACTCATTTGAAGTGAATCTCAAAGGAGATGTAAGTTCTTCATAGGAAGGTAGTGTGCATGGCTTGAAAACTCATCACCTCCACAGGTTTAAATGACTTCTGGATGCTGCCAAAGCTTCATGAAGGTCAGAGCATAAGAAGGCAGCGATGAAAAGGAAATGAGTATAATTCATTTCAAGAACAGTTCTTGGGTTAACAATTGAATTTGTGTCCCTTTGGGTCACAGGTCATTGATGAAGCACCAAGGAAACCTTCAGATTAACTGTTATTTCAGTGGTCATTTCTATATTTGGAAACTAACCTCAAAGCAGATACATAAAGCAGAGTTACAGGAGAGATTTCCAAAATAAAGTATTACATTCTGAATCTAACAAACCTATGTGGTCATAGAATTTTGGAGTACAAAATATACCAAATCTCCCTCTTAATGATTCATCTCACTCATAAGCACACTAAAGGCTCTGAGAATTCTCTCAGCTAATATTTGTTTAAATTCATCTGAGCATTTCAAAACATCTTTTGCTATGAAAACCTATTAAAATGCTTCTATGCCACAAAATATAGGTGGAATATCCTAACCTAGATGATATGTGAATATTATCGTATTTTCAAAATCTTCTTGAAGTGTGCAACAGTTTACATCAGAATACATAACCCAGGCTGTTAGAAATGTGATGATCTATGAAATGGCTGGATAACAGAAGGAGCAAGTTTCTAGGCATACAAAAGTTAGTTAAGAAAAGTGCCTTCATTTTGCTCATATTATGCAGGTATATTTTTATTTGATGTGGAAAATATTTTAGTTGAATTCTTATTCACCTGACCAGCAGTATCTAGGATCTCCATGGAAACAACTTCATCATCGATGGTTGCTTGGTGTCTGTAGGTTGATTCTGAGGAATGAGAAAATAAAGAAGGCAAAAAGGTAAATAAATGCAAGATTAATTTGGTTCTTAAAATGAAAGGGAAGAAGGATTTGCATGAGTATAGCATCTTTCAACTTAGGGAGCTCTTGACAGTCATAAGATAAAACAAGGAGGCTACCAACTTTAAGGGGTAGCATGGGGGAGACCTCTGCTTCTTTCTCCTCTATTCATTCTTTGTAAGGCTCCATCTTATTCTCTCAGGAGTGCAGTTTCTTAATGCTTTTTTATATTTAAATATTCGTCTATATCATAAAATGAGAAAGGTGGTCTCCCACAAAATGCAGTCTGCCTTCATGTTCTAAAAAAGAGTTTCTGAAATCACTACTAATTTATTTTCCTAACAGGTTGCATACAAACAGGATCTACTATTTTCCTTCTAGTCCTTAACCTTGGAAATATAACAGACATTAGAGGAAGGTTAATAGATCTTACCAAATGGTGTAACACTATGAGAAAGTTTTGAGGAAGTAAAAGGTGATTTGTGAGGAACAGTACCCTAAAGTAGAGCGGACCCAAGCAGCACTGAGGCAACAGTGCAGATTTTTCTCATTCATGTTACCTCTTCAAAGCAGAAAACAGCAGCTGCTCAGTACCAGCTGGAGGTTAGTGAGTCAATAGCAGAGTAGTTCCCAAGCCATGAGGGGTTGAAGAGAAGCTAGTAGTACAAGAAGACTGAGTAGCCCTGAATTTAGCTCTCATCACATAAAGGAAAACCACAGGTCAAAAACAAGTGCAAACGGGTGTTGCTCTACGTGAAAACTGGAACAATGTAAACAGAGGATTCAGTGAATGAATGATCAGCAGAGACGATGGAGGTGGGATTGAGCAACTTTCCCAGAAGCCTTCAGTAAGCGATAAGAAGGAAAATGTAAATTGAAACTTTAACAAAACATATGGAAAATAGAACTAGAAATGTTATTCTTTATAAAAATGATTCTCAAAGGAGAGAATAAAATACATGGGAGGCATGGGAATATTTGAAAGATATAATGACTAAGAATTTCCCTGGATTAGAGCCATTTAAAGACTTAAGGTCAAAATGACTAACAGAATACATGAGAAAAAAGTCTCTTATTTAAATCTGTAGCAATGAAAATGAAGGATATCAATGACGAAGAAAAGTCTAAAGGGATTTAAAGGAAAAAAGCTCATAATTTACAAAAGGATATGAGTCAAATTGACATTGGATTTCTTACAACTGAAACCAAATTCATGACATTCATGGCATAAAACAAAAAATAAACTACAGCGAAAGCAATCCCCAGTTATAATTTTGGGTGCTTACAATTTATCATGTAGAGAAGACCAAAGGATGGTTTAAGTAAACTAACACCTTTTCTTGGGAGACCACGAAATAAAAAAGGAAAACTAGAAAAAGTAAGCTAAGTACTCTACTTAGTAATGAAGAAGAGAAACAATAAAATTTAAAAGATAGAAAGAAAAGACAAAATGTCATGGTGGAAAAATATAACTATGTAATTCCTTTTAGAGGAATTATACTGAGTTCATTAACAAGCAGTACAAGAATAACAAAAAGAAAATAAAGATTAAAAAAATTTTAGGCTCATTCTATATGTGAATATAATTAAAAATTCTAAAGTGATTATTCAATTGATTTTGATAGTGTAATAAGCAAATAATGATCAAATAAAGCTTTAGGAAAGCAAACAGTATTTAAAATTAATCAATGCAATTTAACACATTAATGAATTAAATGGGGAAAATCACATGGTTAACTCTGTCAAGGAGAAAATGCTCTTTTCTTTCTTATAGCTCATATCTGTTTAAGATTTTTTAAAATGCTCAGAAAACTACAAATAGGAATTTCTTAATATGAATGTCAAAGCCCCACAAAATACATCAGGTAAAGAGACATTTTATACCCTTGGTCTTTAAACTATAAGCAAGAAAACATATGTGCTACAATGTAAAAGTATAATCCAACACAGGCTATCAACTGCAGACAATGCAATAAGTAGGGAAAAATGAAGAAAAGATATAAGGACAAGAAAGGAAGTTAAAGATCACTGCCAGTAGCAATAAAATAAATGATTATATTGAGAAAGTAGTACAGAATGAATAAAACTGTTCAGTGGAAAAATCTGTAACTTGACAAAAGGCAAAAAAAAAATGAAGATGTGAATAAATAGTAACATTGCCCCAAAAAATGGATGAGCAATAATTTTTTTAAAGATTTTAACTTCCCCCAAATTAATCTAAAATTCAATGCAATTAAAATTAAAAGTCCAGATTGGGGATCTAAATAAACTTACCTAACATGGCATAATACAAAGTATGTAACACTACTGAAAACTATGCTATGATATCCAAATGGACAAATTCATACATCAAGACCTTAAAAATAGACCCAGGTTTATACAGAAATTGATTATATGACTGAGGTGGATCCACATACCATTTGGAAAGAGAATACCTTAGGGGTTATTACATGGAGAAATAAATCTGGACCCCTCAAGACTAAAAGTAAATCCAGATTAAAGATCTAAACCTATATAGATTTGAAAATTTATATTTAAAAGAATAAAACATAAAATATAAAAAGTCATGTATACACTCAACAAAAGAGATTAAAAAAAACATGTTGACTAGATTAAAATGATGAAATTTTATGCACTATCAAATGTTTTAAAAACCTAGAGAAAAAAAATGGAAACAAAGGTTTTGTAAATAAGGAGGTGAACAGAGATTGAAGGAAGGGGAAGGAGAGGGGAAATAAAGAATTACAATATACCATACACAGATACAAATTCCCTATAATGAATGTTATCATTATTTATATCTAAAATATTCTAATAAAATTAATTTTAAAAACCTGGAGAAAATATTTGTAATAAGCTACTGATGAATATCTAAACTGTAAAGGAATCTTTAAAAATTAAAAAAGGTAGGCGAACAGAAAATAAATACAGGTAAAGTATATAAAAAAGAAATTCACAGAGGAGGAAGACCAAATAACTAAAACATATATTAATGATGTTTTACCTGGCTATTTACCAGAGGGAAGCTTATATAATTATGTTGCAACTATAAGATTGGCCAAAGTTAGACAGATAATGTAATGCTTTCTTAGGTTAGAGGGAGCTTCCCTGTACCAGCAATGAGGGTGTAGAATTGCTCCAGCATTTTGGAGGGCAACCTAATGCTATGAAATACATGTTTACTCTAAGACCTAGCAATCTTCCCCCAGGCATATGCTATAGCAAAAAATCCTAGTCCAAGTTTTTAAGAGTAGAGCAATGGTTCTCAAAGTGTAGATTCTGGAACAGTATCATTAGCATCACTCAGCAATGTGTTAGAAATGCAAATTCCCACATCTACTAGGGCTAAGATCCAGCAATCTGTGTTCCTCCAAGTCCTCCAAGTGATTATGATAAACACTAAGTTTGAGAACCGTGGATTGGAAGGAATGATTCCCCCAGTGATGTTAGCAGAAGCTCATGCTGGAGGCAATTGGGGTATTTATCAAAGGAAGATATGTTAAATACGGCATACCTAAGGAATATGATGGGGAAAACTAGATATATGTTCTAAGAGTAGAAGGATGGAATGCTCTAGAATTGAGAATCAGCATACAATGGTTGGATTAGAAGTCCTAGGAGAATGATGATAATGAAAAACACTGATTAAAATACATTGACCATAATCTAATTCCAAAATTTTACTTTTTGAAAACACTATTGCCATGTACATGCTAAAATATAACACTTTTTTGCATCTAAAATACAACAATATGAATGGGCATTAAAAATCCCACACTCTGTTATCAAGATTAGAAATATGTATAAAACAATAAAATTTATATAAAATTTTAAATATATGCATAAGCCTATTTTTATATACATATATAATAGCTAAAGCACACCACTTATTATTTGAACAAGAATTATTCTAAATGCTTTACTTACTTCAATTCATGTAATCCTCACAAACATATTATGAAGTATATTTTACTATTAGTTTCATCTTACAAGAGGAAACTGACTGAAACATAAGAAGATTGTGCAGAGTTATGAAGATGGGAAGTGGTAGATGTGAGATTTGAATCCACAAGTCTGGCTTTGGAATTCAGGACTGGTAGCACTATGCTTAGTATCAAACACATTAGAATATATTTATGGGAAAGAGAAAAGGATCATCAGAATAAAAAGGGGAAAATAAAGGGCAATAAAATAAGGGCCTTGTATATACTGAGAATGGCATGGTGCCATGAAAAGAGTAGGATAACTAACATAGTTATTAACTTGAAGTTTTGCATTTAACATATCCAAATGACTAATTTCTCAAACAAATTAACCTATAATTTATTTTCTCATGGGGGCAGTGCTTTTATTATTTTTTTGTCTATCCATCTAACTTTCTTCACCTGTTTTGCAACCTTTTTGAAACCACAGTTTTATCTTCCTTTCACTGAAAATATAATCTCATATCAAAAATTCAGAAAGGAAGCTTAATCGAGCAGCTTAGCCTTCTACCTGCCAGCACCACCGTGCAATGTTCATTGCCATGTAATGTACATTGCTGAAGTATTTCTCAGAAACTACAATCATGAAATGAGATCATGTTCAACATATTTTAATAAGTGTGTTTTGCATTACTGTCATCCTCCTAGGATTTTTAATCCATACATAATATGCATACTGATTCACAATTGTAGAGCATTCCATCCCTCTACTCTTTTATGTTACATAAGTGATTATATTTTCAAATGATTGAATGTTCTAAAATGCTGTTCATAGAAGCCACTTGTCTCTAAGTGTTCCCCCAATTATTGCAGACTGAGAAAAAGCCCACATGACATCAAATATGCTACAGGTCCACACCCTTTTGGCTTCTCCCTGGCATTCTCTTTGTGTCCTTTGTACTGACTTCTCTTTCTAAAAGACTGGCATTAGCCCTGGAGCCTGGAAAACAGAATTCTGGGCTGTATTCCATCTCTGCACCAAAAGTTGTCTGTGAGACAGGGACATTTTTCTCCGTTGATTCTATGATAAATACGGTATGTATTTCAACCACAGAAGGCCACAGTAGGGGAGAAACAGAATAGAATGAAAATTGTATGAAGTTGTGTGATTCTTTGGCTGTTTGTTAACTGAAATGAAAAAGGGTGAAATGCAGGAAATGAGAGAACGTCTGCCCCAGACTTAGCAGCGGGTGGTAGCGGTGATTTCATCTAAGATGAATACTGGTTTCACACTATTTAGAGCACTTTTTCTTTAGGCATCTCTCTTTCTCATTAGGAACCCCTTTTCTTTACATATAACACAGTGGAACTGTTACCCACAGACACAAAATATTGTACATGTATGTGCTAGGTCTTCTGAGATAGTTCTGAAAAATACACTGAATACGTGATGTAATAAGCTCTGCTATTTGTTTTAAAACCCAAAAGAAAATATGTATGTATTTGGATGGTGGACGTGCTTTCCATTTTATTCATACTAACAAAAATGATAATTAGATTGAAATAAAATGTTGCATACTTTAAGAAAAATACACGGATCGTATCTGAATTTCACTGTGTATGAAAGATTAAAAACCTGCATCAAAGCATTTTTATAAATAGAAGTATACATTTTGTACATTCTGAGAGGAATTAATGGTCAAAGAGGAATTGCATGTGGTTAATCCTTATACTAACTTATACTAACTTTGCTTTTTGCAAATTTCAACACATTAATATGGACACTTGGCCAGTGTGGTTAGGATAGCACTTAGTAAGGCTGGTTTATGATACAGTAAAAAATTGTTCTTAGAGCACACCAGCCATGAAATCTTGGGTAAAAATGTACTTTTTAGGACCTATTTCCTTATTTGTTAAATGACTATCATCTCCAAGTTCCCTGCAGGGCTGATATTAAATAGTTCTATGAGTTGGCTGAGCACTTCTCTTTGGAATCCAATTGAGATCATTTGTTCTTGGTGTGTCTTTTTCATTTGTATGAGCCTTTTTGAGTAGAAGGAATTGTAAACCAGGCAAGAAGAATCAAGGACAACAGAATCAAAGCACTGGTCAGTGTAAAATGTGTCCTGACTCCCACCTTTATTCCTATCTGAGCTTTTATGAAGCACATAAAGACAGCATTCCTTCATTTGAAACAATATAAGGCATCTCCAAGGTACTAGTACAGCAGTGAAAGGTGCTGAATGCACACTTTCTCTTCTTCTCCACATGTCTCCAACACTCATCCTCACAGGTACACACACAATTGCAGAAAAACTAAGTTTTTGTCCCATTCTCTTCTATGTCCAGCATTCTTACACGATAGCAGGACTCTTGGATGTAGGGATTCAGTTCTTGGATGGTATTGCACAGTGTTGATTCTGTTATATACAATCAGAACAGTGCTGCTACCCATCAGGGGGCTGTCCTGGTTACATGATCTTTGTCTCAGATCTTACGAGCTTCAGTGGTGGGGTTCAACTGCTGCTCCTAAACAGACCTGGCCTGTGACAAAGATTTCACTGATCTACAGTGAAATGAGAAAATTCTAAGGGAAACTAAAATCACTCAATGCAAAAGAATAAACTTTTGTTCTTAGGGTATATGCTTTGAGACACTTGTATGTTAAAAACTCCATTTATGAAATAGACATTTAAGAAAGTATAGAGTTAGATCTCCTCATCTGTTTCGCCATCAAAACTGAATCAAAACAAAACAGCAGGGCAAACAAAAACAAAAAACCCCACTGGGCCTAAAAGTTTTGGGATCATTTGTTACCACAGTAGCAAGCATTTTTCCTGTGTGTAGAATTATCTCAAAACAGTAAATATTCCAATTTTGTTAATATGTAGAATGATGTTCATAGTCTCCAGCTTCTCATGCAGCAATAATTCTATTATAAGTTGAAAATCCTGGACCAATGTTTCTGCAGAAGACACTGGATTCAGAATTCGAGAATGTTTTTGTTTACACAAATATATTGCTTTGTTTGGTACGGCACATGCTATTTGTGTCAGTGGTTGTCTTGAAGCTTTTAAAGTAGCCATGTATTCACCAAAGGATCCTGTCTTCCCTTTGGTAGTATGAAGCTAAACCTAAGAACTGCTGATTTCTGTTGAATCAACCAGAGGGGGGTCTCTGGTATGCTAAAACATTAGTGATTTCCACTGCACCTAGGCATATGCGCACATAGATCCAGAGCTAATGAAACCCTCACTTGGGGTGAGTCACGCACCAATTACTTCTAAAGTGGGAGAAGAGCTCTGGTTGCTTAGCAGCTGCAGGCCTCCGAGCAGTACAGTGCAAGGTCACTCCATGAAGATCTGTCACTCATAGGAAAGGACAACTGATGGAAGCTGATTTCTATTAATAGCAATTTTTATCAGAATGGTAAAACAAAAGGGAAAATGGTGCAACTAAAATTAATTTTAAAAAGTAACATCACTGGAACACATGCAGAGAGAGTGCAAGAAACTGATGGGAACATTTTTGCAAGCTTTGTCTTTCACTGAGATGTATGGATAGAAAAAACAAATACAGTTAGTATTATTCTGCTGAACTCCCATGTCTCACTGAGCTTCCAAGATAACCTCTATAAGGCTTAAATAAATAGCAAAAACATAAGAGGAAAATAAGTATTTAGCTGAGTGGGAAAAATAAGAATGATTTTTGTTAAACCAGGTTCATTTATAGATCTAAGTATATTATTTTAAACTTAAAATATTGCTATATTTAAAATATGTCAAAAAATTTTGATGAACAAAATATTTAAGAGTAAAACCAAAGAAGAATAAAACACAAATATAGAGATATGCTATTCCCTTAGATTGACAGATTGAATATCATGAAGACAAAGATTATCTCTATTTATATTTTAATTCAGTTCCAATTAAATTATGATGGTTGCTAAAACTGATCTTGGAAAATACACTAGAGACAGTAGCCAAGATAATTTTATAAAACAGTAATGGAAGATTTTCTTTACTGAGAAATTGTTGTACAGAGCATACAACTATGAAAAGTCTGTGGGAGTGGGTGTGAAAAGTAAATCTAAGCTGTATCCTATTGTAAATGATTTACTATATAAAGACAGCATTGGAAGTAATATGGAAGGGTAGGATCTATTAATTAATGATAGGAGGAAAATTGATTAACTATTAAAAAAATGCCTGGTGTTCACCTTGTGCTTCTTGCTAAAATAGTCCTAGACAGAGTAAAATCTTAAATATTAAAGAAATAAAGTGATCCTCTTCCATGTCCAATTCTCCTTCCAACAGTTATCACTACTTGACATATTATCTATTTATTAACTCATTTTTACTAGAATATTGGGTCAAAAATCACAGTTTTCTCCTTTTTCTGACTGATTGATCCTTAGTACCTAAACAACATTACTGACCCATGGGGGGCAGTTCATAAATATTTGCCAAATGAATGAGCAAAAACAATGAAATAAAGAATGAGGGGGAAAGAAACAAAAAGCAAAAAAAACAAAAAGCCTAGAAATAGTCTTTGCCAAAGTTTAAACATAAACACCATTGCTACTTTCAAGATCCACAAACATTACTTTCTGCTTCTTTTTTTTAAACACATTTAGTACAATTTATTGGTAACAAGAAAAAATGGGAAAGAGTTTATTCTTAACAATACAAGGTGGGGAAGAGTTTATTCTTAAACTTCTCCCAAATCAGTGATTAGAGGTTTCACTTTTCTGTTACTCTCCTCAGCATTCCTTTCTACTCGATGCCAGATTTGTCCATATCTTCCTTTCTCCAATTAGAATGACTTTTTCTGATGAGAAAGTATCACACACACCCGGTTCCTTTTTGTCTCAAATTTGATTTAATTTCCTCATTTCTGCATTAAAAGCTTGCAGGGTTCTGTGCACAGACACAATGAGCCACACAGCTAGCCTCTTAGAGGGCATCTCTGCGTGGTTAGATAACAATTTGGACTTCCAAAACAGCTACAGGGGCTTGAAAATGTTGCAACAGACCGTGTCATCATCTTGTGGGTTCACAATCTTTGATTGGCAAGGAGGAGAAAACAAAATTTGACCTACCGAGGGTGGGATCATATTCCCAGATGAACCTTTTGGTCAGAAATCTCACTACAAGTGCTGTGGGAAAAAAAAGAACAACATGTCAATCACATTTGCTAATTCGCTAGAGTTCTTTTCTAAGGAAAGAGAAAAGGTCCATACAACTTTATGTGCAGTTCATATTTCCTCAGTATACAAATCCAATACATTTAATAATGTTCATTCAGATACTTTTCTAATTTTACATGATAGCTTAAAGACAAGTACAATGTGTTATTGGGTTTATGGTACACTAATCAACAGCTTAGATTTGTTCCTTTAGTTACAGGTTAAAAACAAATATAACAATGTGAAAATGCTCACATATAAATTTTTTATCAAAAACAGTGACTTCAAATACAAGTAGGTGCCCAGAGTTTGAATACTGATGAATATCGACAAAGGTAAGTTAAAAAAAAATGTGGTAATTTTGATAGGAATGGAAAGATCACTAGCTGGTACTTTATATTATAAAGAGGAGGTATATAAAATTAAGGATTTTATGAAAAAGTTCATCAGGTAAAGTTCATGATGAGATTGTTACAGTCAGAGTCAAGTTCTGGAACTGTGTGAGGCATTTTAATGAAGATAACCTCAATCCTCATTCCACCCCTATGAAGTAGGTACTATACTCCCATTTTCCTTCCTTCCTTCCTTCCTTCCTTCCTTCCTTCCTTCCTTCCTTCCTTCCTCCTTCCTTCCTCTCTCTCTTTTTCTGTTTCTTTCTTTTCCTTCTTTCCTTCTTTCTTCTCTCCCTCTCTCTCTTTCTTTCTTTCTCCTTCCTTCCTTCCTTCCTTCCTTCCTTCCTTCCTTCCTTCCTCTCTTTCTTTGTTTCTTTCTTTTCCTTCTTTCCTTCTTTCTTCTCTCCCTCTCTCTCTTTCTTTCTCCTTCCTTCCTTCCTCCTTTCTTTCTTTCTTTCTTTCTTTCTTTCTTTCTTTCTTTCTTTCTTTTTCTTTCTTTCTTTTTCTTGCTCACTTGCTTGCTGCTTTCTTGCTTTCTCAAGAAAGCAGAAGCTCTGCACAATTGATTTAAGAGAGCCCTACTAGCGAGTTTGTGGTCGAGTGAGGATTTGAATCCAAGAAGTCTGTTTATAATGCCTGCAGTTTATACATTGTACCAAGTTGAATTTAAGTCATGCACTGGAGAAAGAGAAATGCTGAAACGTGTGGACTTTAAGACTTGGTGGATCATATGCTGACCATTTGGTTACATGCGTACTGTAGGTGACAACTGTCACAAGTGGTCTTTAATCTAAGGAAAAATCTTTGAAGAAGGTGTCATAGACACTTTAAAACTAAAAGAAAATCATTGGATCTTTTTCCTAGAAAAATGTGCACATATGCTAATTAGCATATAGTTAGTTGCAGCAGCCTTAGGAGCATTCTCCTGACCCTTGAAGGTATTCCCAGGGTTCCACTGACCTTAACTAAATAATCATCACCTATTATATTTTCTAGTTTAAAAAACCCTATTATTAGGGTTTTTATTTTTACTGAGACACTCATATAGTAGCTAAGAGATACTCCTTGAAGAAATAAAATGGGTTAGTTGGAGGTTACTGTCAGTCTGTTGTCACTTTTAGGCTCCGACCCTCGTGTCTTCTATGAAAAACCACAGTGCAGACTGCAATGAGGCCTTGGCGGGTCAGACAGACTACAGGCATCTGTGGCTTCGCTGCTGGTGACTAGAGATCAAAAGTGGCAATGTTCTTTCTAATTACAGAGCGTAAGGCTGGATTCCAGCCAAAGTATCTGCAGACCCTAAAGCAGCAAGTCCGCTGACCCTATAATCCTTCCCACAGTGAGCATCCTGGTGGTTACATCTGCAATCTTCAGTCTGTCACCATTCATTCTCTTGAGACTGGAACAATTTTTCCTTGCAAGTATGAAACAGTAAGGTCAGACGGATATTTTTCTCTTTTAAAAAAATTATCAATGTTAGTAAACATAACTCCCTCTGGGATTGAAAGAGTTCCATTTTTTTTTAGAATGCCATTTTTAGCTGTAAGGGTCACAATCTCCAGAAATAATAATTATTTAGCATCCTTAAGGAATATGCTCTTAAAATTATTATTTTTTCTACAACTGAATTTGATGTTGCCATTTAAAACCATTTAAACTTTAATAATTTCTTAAAACCTTTCAGAAGTGTATTAAGATACCCCATTGCCTTTCAAAATTAAATATACTGAACATAATTGGATCATTTTAAATTGGTATATGCTTATGAGACATAATAATTACATTTATCTTGGGGAACTGGTACACATATATATCATATCTCAATCAGTTTTGCTTCATCTTTCCCTCCTGGCCCTCCCCTTCCCACCATCTCTTAGTCCTCTTGCCATCTCTATAAAATCCACCTCCCTGTTTCCTATCATTTTGCTATTTTGCTTTTTAAATTATTTATATAATTTAATCTGCCTCCTCCTAGTAGGCAATAATTGCTTTTTAAATTATTTATATAAAGAGATCTTTAACTTTCTATGTCTGATTTTTTTCACTTAACATTATAGTCTCAAGAATTGCATCATTTTTAAATGTTTGGATCTTGGATAAGAACCTTGATTCATGGCCCGTGCTGTTACGTAGCACTATTTTTTGAAGCGACAAAGTGGATGAGGCAGTACAAATCTATGGTGCTAGAGCTTCTGAGTTTTTAAAGATTTTGAAGTTGAGCATGTGTATGTAAATATATTCCTAACACATACTATTCCTGTCTTCTTTTGCTATGGTCACTGAAACTCCCTATAATAACACACCTGTACCTCCACTGTGTTACTTGTATTATGCCAAAGGCTGATAAACCATGTCAATAACCCTGGTGCAATTTGTAAAATATGGGAGGAGATTATTTCTGGGGTTAGGTCCTACAGAACCTCTTATATTGACATACACGTGAGTGATCTGGTGTGGCTTTCAGATATCATATTCGTTGCTGATAAGTTGTTCCTTCCGACTTCTGGGATACTTATTGGCTCACTTTCCAACTACAGAAAATAATCTCCTTCCAGCGAGGTGCTGGTGCTGGGGTTAATTCATATAACCATATAAACATTTTAAATGTTCTTTTAAAGAGACACACATAAATGGTTCTTTTAAAAATGGAATCATGCATTTAAAAATCAATCTATTCAAATGTATTAAAATACTTTGAAAAATCGACATTAGCTATGCATTTGAAGATATGTTTTCATGTCTCAGGCTATTCATGGAAAAGACAAACACATCTATTTTTAGGTTTTCAATAATATTTTCATTTAAAATTATTAAAGAATGAAAAGAATAATTTTATATCTGTGGACAAACTGCCAAGGCCTCATCATTATTTAAATTGTGTCTAAATTGCATAGATGACATTCATCATTTACTGGTGAATTACAGAATGTCACCAGTATTATTTGGCCCCAAGTTTTATTACTGTTTGACTATGGAATATGATTTTCATATGTGAAGTATCCTTTACCAGCTCACCTCCTCCCTACTGTGGCAGGTGTTTCCTGGCTTCACCTGTTAATACTACTCTTGCTTCCTGCATGGGCGGTCTGCTTCTCCTGCACCCCACAACACCCTCGATCTACTCCCCACAAAGGAGCCAATGACTCTGTTGAAACATTATCTATCGCATGTCATGTATTTGGCCCAGTTTGTCCCTGATCTCATCATGTCTTTGACCAAATACTAACTGAATGCCTACTCTGTGCTAGTTCTGCTCCAGGTGTTTGGAATAGTCTGGCTAACAAGTCAGATGGAGATCCCTGATGTTATGAGCCTTATTTTCTACTATGAGGAGGCAAATTAAAAATAAAAATAAGAAATTACATAGTATGATAAAGGTGATAAGTGCTCTAGGACTAAAATAAAGAAAGAATAGATTGGGCTGGGGATGTAGCTAGGTGGTAGAACACTTGCCTAGCATGTGTGAGGACCTGGGATCAATCTTCAGTACTGAGAAACAAAAGAAGAAAGAAGGAAAGCATGTAAGTAAGCAATGAGGAAGATAAGAAGGATCTGGCATTGAAGGGTAAGTCATGAGAGCTGTTATTTAAAATAAAGTGGCCAGCACAATCCTCCTTAAGGAGATGACATCTGAAAGGAACAAGGGAAGATGTCCAAGGGAGCAGTTCCAGGCAGAAGGAGCAGCGGTGCAAAGGCTCTAAGGCAGGAATGTGTGCCTAGATGCTCCAGGAACATCAGCCAGGGAAGTGTGGCTAAAGCAATTTGGGGAATACAAAGTGTAACTGTCACTGTCCAGTTGTGCATTCGTTAAACACCCTGCTAATACTACGACACTGCTACTGCTTATTTGTACTACTTCCACCACCACTGACAATAACAAAATAACTGAATTCCACACAGATATATTATTATTGTTGTTGTTGTTACTATGACTGATTTCTTTAGAACACACAGTTCTTGAGTGCCTGGAGTGCATGGAACTTGCTTTATTCAGTTTTCTCGTGTCTAGTACAGTTCCTGGTACATGGTAGACTAAGAAATATTTGTTGAATACATGGAAAAGATGTACCAGTCCATGTCATCAATTACTTATCTTTAACAACTAAATAATAACCATGCATTGCGAGAAGCAGCAGAAAGATTAACCCAGGGTAGCTCACCACAGAACCATGCCATCTTTCCATAATTTTTCTCTTAAGAACTTATATGAACATATCATCTAAAATGCTTTATAATGGTAATTCAATAATCCTTACACAAATTATACATATATCGTTTATCTGAATGGTTACTATAAAAGTGATCTAATATCCTGGGAGAAGTTTTTCTTTTGAAGTAAAATGGTGACATTGACAATCTTTACTTCTGACAGAAGAAGTCTGATACAAAGTCCTTTCCTCTTGAACAGTAAGATTTGATCTATTTTGTTATTTACAGTTAATTCCTTACCCAGTGCCTTGAAAACCAATACCTTTCCACTAAACAAGCAAACATGTCCAGTGGTTCATTTAAGAAAGAACATTTCCCCCTTTTGTCTAATTTATAACCTTCATCACATGTGGTTCATTTTCAGTATTA